ACTCACTGGTGTGTTCTGCCTACCGGAGTGTGATCTGGGGACACTGGCAAACTAGAGAAACACTTCCTACCTACCCCCATGGCACTGCCAGGGTAGAAGGGCAGAAGATGCATGATCAGACACATTTCACATTAAAGTACGATTCACATGCAGATGAAGAAACACCAAGGACTTCACTGCCCTCAAATGAAGCCTTTCCCACTTGGCCACATTGCCATCCTCCTCCTCCTTCCCCCCCCTCCTCCTCCTCCTCCACCACCACCACCTCCTCCTCCTCCACTAATATAAGGTTTGTATGCACTGCAATGATCGAATGTATGTTGAAGAAAATGTATCCTGGAACCCAGAATTCAGGCTGGATATGAGGCAGTTCTGGAAAAAATAAAAAATGGAAACATACAGGTTGAATAAGTTGGGAAGAAACTGAAGGCACCCAGAGTACAATAGAAATGAAACAGTTTGAGGGAACAGTGATACTCAGGAGAGCAACAAATTTCAAGGTTTTTGCCTGTTTTCCTGGAGGTAGGAACTGATCAAAATATTCTGCCTTAACCATGATGCTGTTGGAAAAAGTCTTCCAAATCTCTCCATGCTGAGAGCTGTGGCCTCTGAGAAACTCAAATAAGATTGGGGGGGGGGGTGAGAAGGACCTCAAAGATCCACTGGCTCTTTATAGATGAAGAAAGATATGCCCAGGTTCATTAAAGGTTTCAATAGTTAGCAAATGCCAGGGCAGATTGAGGCCCAAAGGCTCATCATGAGCCCCTGATTTGGGCCCTGTCTTGCATGAATCTCGCTTTGGGGAGGATGCTTCTAAAATGCTACATATCTTATTCTTTCTGCCTTTTCCAGAATACTAGTGAGAACAACAACAGCTAAAGGGTTAAAGTCTTGTAACCTACCTACACTAGTGATGGCAAACAAATGGCACATGTGCCGCAGCAGATTGTTTGTTATTATCAGAAGCCCAGAAAGGTTTACCACCACTGAATATGAACAAAAATCTGGCTCTGAGAAATGAGAAAGAAATAAACTGGAGGATTGTGACTGCCCAGGTCAGTTGGCTGCTGCCCAGATAAGCCCTCTGAAGACCATTTGGTCTCTGGAAGTGGAAGTAGGTTAGTGCCCTTATTAACTTACCCAGGGAACGGAGAGTCAGGTTACCCTGAACTCCCAGCAGAGGCCTATTCAAAATGTGTTAAATCTCTGGGTAAGGTTTTAATCAGTACCGGCAGGATGTATGAAAAACAAAAAGAGAATGTGGTTTATAACGCGTCAATGCAACTAATATTGCCAAGAGACATTAAGCAGGAAATTCTCTGCTGGTGATGATGCCTGCCTCCCAGAAAAGCCACTCCCTGTCTTAGCTTGGTAGTGGCACACATGGACCCAAAGACAGTGAGAGGAATCCAGGCCTGGCACCCACAGAGGCAGAGGGAGGGCCACAGCCCAGACACCAGGCTCCCAGATGAGGCCCTACCAGGTGTCTCAGCCTTGCAGCTTCCTGCAAAGCCTCCAGCGACCGCACCTAAAAGATTCCACGTAGAACGGAAAGCAAGGACAGACGACCTCCAGGGCAATTTCTGTCTTATTAAAATGCCAATAAGATATTTAACGTTTTTGTCCACTTCTGTATATTTTTCTCTCTCCCCCAAGTAGACTGCCCGCTTTCCAACCTTGCAAATATATGTATTCATTCCACATATCTCTAAGCACCCGAGTGGACCTTTGCACAAACTAACAGAATAATAGAAGTTAGATTCTGGACTGACAGGCACAAGGAATGTCACTGAAAGGCTGGGATGAGCCAGGGTCTCGGGGTGCGTGACCACCAACCTGCTCTGGCCTCTAAACAGCAGTGCTAAGTCCTGCACAGGACCCACAACTACAAGGCTCCTCCCTTGCTTCAGACTTCAGAAACCGTGGAGGCCACGCTTGCTGCCCGGAGAACAGGGCTTGGACGCTGTCCCGGGGAGCCTTGCCTTTCTCAAGTTTTTGGCCAGCAAGCCAGAGTCTGAGACAAGCTCTCTTTCTGTGTGGGCTCCAACTTCCACGGTACTCGTCGAAATCCCACCCCTGCCAAGTTGGGGTGGAGTAGGAGGTCCCGGGGGCACAGAGGACACAGTACGTGGCACTGAAGCCCTGGACAGGGGCGTGGGGACCGAGGAAGTCGACCTCCCGGGCTGCGAGCCTGGAGAAGAAAGGCTGAAGAGGATGCCACCTGCTGGCGAACGACCCTGGCTCGCACGGCGGGCGCTACAGAGACCTGGAGCGTGGATGTGCCGAAAACCAGAATTTGGGCGGCTTTCCAAGTTAATGGTTTTCCACTGTCTCCTGGGGGCTGCCAGCTCCATCGGCTGCGCTGAGACACCCCGGACCCCGCGCGCCACCCCCCAGGAGCGGAAGTTTGCAGCAGGTCGCCCTTCCTCGCCGCGCGCGCCGGGCTCTGAGGCTTCTCCGCGCTTCTCCATCAGGTGGAGCCGCGCACTCCGCGCTGCCTCCTCCTCCCTCCTCGCGAGCGACCCGCGCGCAGGCCGCCTTGCAGCGCCAGGAGGTTAACCGAGGCCCCGGAGGAGGTGAGGCCGCGGGCGGCCCGGGCGGAGGTGGCGGGGCCGCCGTCGGGGCTGGCGCCAGAGCGCGGCCGGCTGTGGGTGCTGCCGGGACCGCTCACGTTCTCTGCCCCACGTGGTGGCCGCCGAAGACTGCCGCGGGTTTTCCGGCACTCAGGGTTGAAACGCCTCCTGCTCGGTCCTTTTAGAGGCGGGCAAGCCATCACTTAATCCAAGCTTTTTCCCTTCCTGCCGGAGACCGGAGGCTGAGGGGAGGGGACGGAGGGGGACGGAGAAGGAAACAGGCCCGGCTGGCTGTGGGGGTCCGGAACCATTCCGGGGCCTTGAGGCCAGTCTCAGTCATCAGCGGGAGAGGGAGAGGTCCTTCCCACCCGAGACTCCCACCTCCCCCTCCAGCCCGGTCTCCTTCCTAGGAGTGAGTGTGAGCCAGCTGCGCACACCGGGGCCTGATTGTCCTGTAGCTCAGTCCTCTAGCCCCATGACCCTGGCTTAGTAATACTGTACATCCTTTGGGCAGAATTAAACAAATCTGGGCTGCGGGCCATTTAGGAATTAACAGTCAAAATGAAATAACAGCTTCAACGATAAATCTTTAGTTAAAGCATCAAATGTTGCTTGGGCAGGTACCCTTCCTTTACCTTCTGCTGTTAGTTTTGGTCAGTACAAGACGTGGCCACCGGCATGAGACCCACACCTTTCATTTACCCTTGCCCTGTAGATTTAGTGCAAAGCAACTCCTACTGCTGCAAGCACTTACATACAGTATTTGCAGCCTCAATGTTATTTGGTATATAGTGTTTGAAATCCTTCTTCATTTGTACTGGTTCGCCTCTCCCGTCTCATTGCATTGTGTGTTACACTGAGCTAATGGACTAAGGCTATGCTGACAAGTTGCTTCTGTGCCTTGTTTGCTCACTTAGCTGCTGGGTTGCTTCTTTTGTGTTTTCTTGCTTTCTCTTGCTCAGCATCTCCCCACCACCACCACCACCACCACCACCACCACGCTTGCTTACAAATTTCCCTTTGATATGTTTAACAGCCTTTAAGGGATGCAGTTAAATAAACTATTAAGTTAAGAATAGAAAAGTCAACAAAACAGACACCTACTAATCTGTAGATCTTTGATGTCAACTGCCAGGTGTCAGCTCCTACCAGCACGCACTTTTGTGTGTGCCCTGCTTCTTTCTTGTTCATAAATACCAAGGGGTGAATTTTTTTTAAGTGAATACACACTTTCAAACTCAGAGTTAAAAAGAGCCCCACAGTCAGCAAAGTACCCCTCTCTGTGAAAGTGATGGAGAAAATGTTAAGAGGCTCCCAAAAGATGTCCAGGAGGTCCAGGGACTGAGAAAGTAAAGATTGATTTTATAATTGAATCTTGAGTGGCCCACACTGAGAGCACCTTGCATCTTCACCCGCAGCCCTTTGGCCCCGCCAGATAACAGCGCATATTTTTATATGTTGCTTTGGAATAGCTGTATAGATTGTGGCTTGTGCGTACACTCAGCTTGCACTCTATATTGGCAACTTCTAAAGGCGCGCTCTGTGCTTACTGTTTTATTTCTCCCCCATGGCCTGCTTATTCCAGGCATGTCTAAATGACTATCAAGTAAACAGAGCTAGATAAATTCATGTTGATATCCTGGAGGAAATAGCGTTTGATTTGAGTGTGGATTTCATAACAGGTAAAAGACCTGAAGGCTCTGTTGCCTGTGACCTTGGCCTCTCCTTCGCAGTCAGACTCGGAGCACCTTTTGGAGAAGAGGCACACACAGAGTGATGAAGTGCTCAGGAGGGGAGAGGTTCCAAATGCAAAGGCAGGCTGCTCCCTGTCCTTGTTAGGAAACGCACAGACCACGATAATAATAATAAATGGCTGTGTGTCACAGACCTACTTGTTTCCCTTCTCGTTCCTGCATTTTGTTTTTCAGGAGCAGTGCAAATCAAACTAATATCCAAACACCCAGGTTATATTACCTACCCCCCCCAGGAAAGTCTCAAAGATGCGAGGCATGCTTCTCTTCAACTCCTGAGCCTCCTGCTGCACACACTGGCCAAGTCCTTGCTGGGGAAAGATGCTGTCCCTCCCTCCCCACTGCCTGTGCGGCTCCCTCCTGCCCAGGCTCCAGCCCCTTGTGCAGAAGCGGGGCATGCAGTCTAATGCATGTGCATGCATGTAGCCATCCATAACTTCTCTCCCCTTAGACAACATTGCATCTTGAGGACAAAAAGTCACAGCTCCGCTCCGTGCTCACCATGCTTTTTGGACAATAACGGTGACAAAAGCTGGATATCCTCCTGTTGAGGGAAAATGGGAGAACACAGCCTCTCCCCCACCCTCCGTTCAGCAAAGATCCCCTCTCTCCAAGTGTTTCCTCTTTAATGATGACCTGTTTCCCCTCCCCCGCCTCCTCCCCCCACCCACCCCAGCTTCTGTGAAAGGAGCCCTTCTGTCGCTCGTCACTCGCTAGCTCGCTAGCTGTGGGAGGAGCCCGCCGGAGAGAGCCGTGTGCCCGGGATGCCGAGAGCCAGAGAATGGATCTGCTCCGAGTGGGGACACTGCTGAGAATCCCGGCTTCCCGAGGCGGCTAAAATCAGACGATTTGTCTCGGCTGGCTGCAGGGACCCGGAGGCACAAAGAGCCCGCAGCCACTCGGAGGGACGGAGCGACGGCCAGGCAGATGGTCGGCGCGAACCGGAGAGGACCCGCGGCGGAGGCTGAGCCCGGAGAGCCGCCGAGAGAGAGAAACTAACTGCACACCAAGTTACCTCGCCGGCTTCCCCTCGCTGCGCTGAGGAATGAAACCTTTCCAGCTCGATTTGCTCTTCCTCTGCTGCTTCTTCTTCAGTCAAGGTAGGACCCGTGCGCCGCCCGAGTTGGAGCGAAGTCGGCTGGGTTGTCAGGGCGCGGGAGGCAAAGGGCAGGATTGCGGGCAGCTTCGGAAACTCGGGCTGATTGATGCGACTCTCGGTGCCGGCGGACAGGCACCGCCGCTGGCTGCTTTGCTGTTGCAAATGCAACAAAATGGTACTGTTTGGAAGGAAGGGGCTGGGAGGACAGAGGAGAGAGGCGACTTTCACTTGTCCACATCCAACTCCAACTCTCCAATGCAAATGAGTTCTTTCTGCTCCCGGTATGTTAATTAGGTAGTAAGTCTGTGGCCACGCCGTTCTGAACTTCTGGCCAACCTCCTCTCTTTCACTCCCAGGTTGCGGGAGAGAGGAGCCGGGAAAGGGAAGCTTGCTTGGGCGTCTGTTTCGACTCTAATAAGGTCTAACTTGTCTGAGTGTTCAACGGAAAATATGTCTCTTTGCACAGTTGCAGAGAGGGTTGCAGTAACGGCTGCGTTTGTGGGGAGGTGGGGTGGGAATTTGCAGTGGTTAAGGGAAGCTTATGAAGTTTCATGGAATGCTATGGAGCTCCTGGAGTGAGGCTGAATTCTGAGACTCACACAGCCCTAGGATTGCCCCTGGTGCCCATTGTTTCCTTTCTACAGCCTAGCAGGGGTGGAAAGGGGGTGGACTGTCTCAGGAAAGAACTTTGCCACCTCTGGGCTCCCTGCCACTGAGAGCTGCTGGCTGGCCACGGTGAAAGGAGGGGAGGGAAGTTCCGAAGAGGGCTTTCCATTGTCTGCTCAGCCAAGAGCAGTGACAGTTACCTGTGGAATTGAGTTTGAAGGGGAGAGTGAATGGGTTGCGTCTTACTCTTTGGAATGCCAGTGCTGCCTCTGCCATCTGGCATTTGTGCCAGCCAGCACAGCTCTTAGAGGGACAGGACTCTCTCAGAAAAATCCACAACAGAACACATCCATCTGTTGATTAAATGAAGGGTAAAAGTTTTCCAGAAAGCAGAGCATCACCATGGGTGGCTGCCTGTGCAAGCAAACAGCATGTATTCCTCACCTCCCTTGTCAAGAAGAAGCCAAATGTAAGCAAAAAAAAAAAACAAAAACCCAGCCTCCTGCCTCCACCCCTCCACTGACCCTCTTGGGCACTGCAGATTTTCTCCTTGTTTGTACTGTTCAAACTGTGCTGCTGCCCCTCCTGATTAAACTTGAGGGGCCCCTCCCCTGAGTGAGTGTGTGTCCACCCATACCTGTGCATGGTGGTGGTGTGAACACACACTCTCACACTCGTGGATTCATGTGGCTGCGTGTGACTCACTGGGGCTCCCTACAGCAGCAGGAAGATAAATTGCCTTCTCCAGAGTTTTCAAGCTGAATGAATAAGAGCTACCCCAGAACTCTAGTAGGGAGACAGGTTTTATTACATCAACATTTTGTGAGATTATCCTTTTTTGGATCTGTGTGTCCTTGTGTATGGGCACACACGCATGCACATCTGCATACTAACTCCCATTCTTCTTTACCTGTTATCAGTACCCTCAGAAAGTTGTGTGCATAGTCCCTGGGAGGAGAAGGCAATCTTCCAATCATTCTCCCCAGCCCTGCCTCACACACATATATTTGCATGAGACGCGTGTAAGCTTTAATCAGCTCTTTGTGTATTTAAAAGCATTATATGTGATTCCTCTCTAGATTGGCATAAGAAGCCTATGGGCATCTCAGCGCCAGTCTGCCTCCCCAAATCATTACTGCGTGCGTCTATCATTTTCCTGGTCTTCTCAGCGTACCAAATTATTTTTTGACTGCCTCATAGAAACCTTTAAATATTTACCTCCAGAAGTTCAATGCTGTGTGTTGTTGGACACTAGCAAGAAACCATAGCAGCATGCCATTCACAGTGCTTTGTTACTCCTGAGTGTTCCGAGCTTGGCCGGGAATACCGCCATACCGAGCAGTGACACACAGTTCATCGGACTCCAAAACAGATCTCTCTTCTTGGTACGCATTTCCTGTCAGGGCGCAAGAACTCTCTCACTGTGCACTACTGTACATCCCTTGGGTAGACAGCAGCTAACTGTAGCAATTAAGGCTCAAGAGAGATGTTTGGTGGCTTCACTGCAAAGTGATATGTGTATCTTTTGACTTGATCTGTGGACACTTCAAAAGTGTGGTTGTTGTTCGGAGTATTGTGAATTCCCCAGAGCTATTATTTGATGTTCTTGGGGCATATGCTTGGTTTGCATACTGTGTCCCGCCCCACCCAGTGCGATGCACTCTCACATCATTGGATACAGTGGAAACACTTTGAAGAGGTCACTAGCTGACTAGTGCGTGGAGCTCTAGATGGTTCCCACCACGGGGAACTGAAGCTGCAGCCCCACCTGTCACCCCTGCAGCCACCTGCCTGCCCCCCATCCCAGCATGCTGCTTCTCCTGTAATGCTTTTCCAAGGAGTAGGGCAAAGCTCAGGGGCACCCTTCCTACTGAGAGAACAAAGTGCCAGCTTGTTTGTTGGGTCCTGGCCCTCCCGTGACATAGCCATCTGCTATCAACCACCTCTTCTAGTGGGAAGCTACATGTCATTTTGGAGTTCTGGGAACATAGTTCTCAGGTTCTGTGCCCCAGTGTCTCCTTGTATGAAGAGGGAGTGAGCACTCCAGTGTTACCCCAAAAAAACCTATAGGTAAACTCTGAAGTCCATTTCAGTCATGTTTCTCTCTGGATTGTTAGACTATGTGCTGATCTTTACTTTTTCCATAAACTTTTAGAAAGAGAGCAGAAATCAGTGGATAATTAAAGTCAGTTTCCTTACTTTTAAAGTTTGGGTTTTTCGTGAAGATTAAGATCAAATATTTCTTTATTACTCTTAAAGTGGCAGAGAAAGGCTAAGTGACATTCCTCTGTTCCTGCCCCTGCCAACAGTGACCCCGTGCTTGGCTGGCAGAGGGAGAATGGAGAACTGCCAGCGTGTGCTGCTTGCGGGTTTCTCTCTTGCTGGGGATGCCTCTTCCCTCAGCTGTCAGGATGGTTGTGTTTTGTACAGAGAGGGATAATGTCACAGCACAATTTGCCTCCTGTGGAGATACGGCATGTTCTGCCCCTGGGTGAAGAAGAATCGATTCTCTTGTCATCCAAAAATTTAGAACTTGCTCTATTTTTCCCTTTATCATTTTAGTTCCCCCCCCCCAACTCCCATGTCCTTCTTAATCCCCAAGCCTCATCCTGATACAGGACCTCCAGTTGATGCAGGGGAGATATAACTCCCAACCTGGTGGATGTCAGACAATCCTAGTTTATGTTCCCCAAAACTGAGGAATGGGTTCTAAGGAATAGTGGACATTATGAGTAGGAAAGATTTACTGAAACAGACAGCTCCTGACCTAAAAGGAGATTGCCAAAGAGTCCGCTTCTCAGTGGAAGAAGTTCTTAATGCAAAAATCACAAGGTGGGTACAATGTGGGACAAAATTATGATCAACCAATAAGATGACAAGCAGAGCCACTACAGTACTATCGATCCAGTTGGAAGCAGATCACATAACAAGTGTACCTGAAAAGAAGAAAGACCTTTTTTGGAAGAGATGGGTCAGGAGGTCCTGGTCACCCCCTGGGCGACTGCTGCCTATCTAGACTCCATGGACCAGATGATACTAATTATGGTATGTTGCCTGTCCCTAGGGAGGCAGGTAAGCCTGGTCATTCCATCTTTATCTTGAGGTCTGGCCTTCAGGGATGGGCCTCCAGCCACAGTTATAATGCATTCTCAGCCTCTAAACTGACTCTCTCAAGGTCTCGCCCTGTCTGACCTCCTATATTTCCACCTAGCTTACCTGTCTATAATAATCTCATGAGTCAGCACATGCACATCTGAGGTGGCTTTGGAGAAATAAGGGCTCAGCAGGACTGACGACTCCCTGATTCCCAGCATGTCTCAAGTTCTGAGACATTTGGGGATATGCTGTGGAACGGGTTTGGTGGCTTCTACTTCAGACTCTAAGAAAGGTGTTTTCCTTGCTCTCTGACATTCTGTTCTGGCATTCGCAGAGTGCACAGTCCTGCCTAGTGGCTCTGAGGTCAGATCAAGAAGGCTTTAATTCTGCTCAATTTGGATGTCTGGTTGGCTTTGTCCATGTGCCATACTGCTCTAAGCATGGAGCGTGGAAGTGAGAACTTACATTTACCTGTTAATGATGTAGATGAGTGAAGAATGAATGTGGGAGCCAGCTCCCTATTGAGAAGAATCTAGAAGGTCTGGTCCATTTGCACTCCTGGTTGGCAGAAGACAACAAAGAGGAAATCCAGTGGCACCCGGAATCTCCAAGAGACAGTAGCATCAAGCAGCCAGGAAGGGGCAGTGTAAGGGGAAGAGCTGAGAGGGATGCAGAGCCATGGGGAGGCGAGGAGGCACAGGGTGAACAGCCCTTGGGCAAAGCTTGAACTTGCAGGGTTTCTCTTGGGAAGAAAGGGAAAGAGTGTGCATCAGAAGATAGCGTGAGCACATTAGATAAGGAGCCTAAGAATGAAGGCTTTCGGGCAGAGACCAAAGCTGGGAGTGAGCAGCAACTTCCGAGAAACATTTAACCATACCCAGAAATGTCATCTAACAAAAAATGAGACTGTGTGTTTCCCCCAGCCACCAGCAACCCAAGCAGTACAACATCCCACTAGGGGCGGTGGAAGAATCACTTCTTTTGTCCCTGAAGGTCACTGCACATCTGCCAAGGGTGTGGGATCACCTCTTCAACAAAGCTTATGGGTGGGGGACCAGGATGTGCCTCTTGGCTTGGGGGTGTGACAGAATCTAGTGCCCAACGGGGAGCCCTCGTTTGCCAGCCAGACTTATTGAGGATGAAAAAGAAACTCCCCAGGGGCTGGGGGTGTGGGTGTGGTCAGTGCCTTCACACACAGTCAGAGGCTCTCCTGGTCCCCCTTCCTTGGGTAAGAGAAGGAGGATCTGGCTTGGAACATGGCAGCAGCAAGCTAGGCATGGTACCAAGGAGCAGCCCTGC